ATCGAGGGCAAATCTGAGCCTTCGGGTTGGGTTGGGGTGGTTTGGTGGGTGGTGAGTAACCGCTCCAACTTCAGACTGACCGACGCGACGATCTCAGCAGTCGACCGACACCGAGCCGACCGCAATCCGTGCCCCCTTCGGGCGCGCCAGCCTGGGCACGGCGACCGGGTCGCCGGCGCCCTCCGCCGCCCGCAGGGTCCACGGCTCGCCCGCGCTGCTCTCCTCCGCCCCCGCGCACGGGTCGCAGGGGCCCGGGAGGTCCGCGGGGACCAGGCCGTCCGGGGGGAGCCAGCTCCTCGCTTCGGCGGCGAGCGAGGGGCGGCAGTGGGCAGGAGAAGGCCCTCGCTCGGAGGGCGGCGGGGCTTCTCACAAGCCCTCGCGCCGTCTGGGACGTTTTGCTGTCTTTGGCTGCGCAGAAAGCGCCGAAGCTGTTTCATCAGAAGGCCCGGGGAACTGCCGAGCCTTCAGAGAAGGCCTTCTCCTTCTCATTTCCCCCCTCTCGCTCGCCGCCGATCGTTGACGGCGCGCACAAGGGGGTCACAGATCTTCGACGCCACGAAGGGCCCTGAAGGCCCCGAAACCGAAAATGTTGCCATGCGTTTGGTGCGCATGTTTTGCTTTCGCCAGACTTCCGCCGGCGGAGCCGCTCTCGTTATACTACCGCAAACTTCCGCTCACCTTCCGCCGCAGAAGAGATGCCAACTCCGTGGGTCCTCGACAGCGAGGGCCTCTCTGAAAAGCCCTATACGCCCCATGCGCCCCTCCTCCTCCTCCTCCTCCTCGTCCACCGCCTCCTCCTCCTCCTCCTCCTCCTCCTCCTCCATCAGCTCCTCCTCCTCCTCCTCCTCCTCCTCCTCCTCCTCCTCCTCCTCGTCCTCCTCCTTCATCATCTCCTCCATCATCTCCTCCATCATATCCTCCTCCTCCTCCTCATCCTCCTCATCCTTCTCCATCTCTCCATCCTCCTCCTCCTCCACCTCCTCCCTCCTCCTCCACCACCTCGTTCTCCTCCACCTCCACCTCTTGCTCCAACTCTTCCTTCTCCTCCTCCTCCTCCTTCTCCATCAGCTCCTCCATCACCTCCTCCTCCTCCTCCATCATATCCTCCTCCATCATCTCCTCCTCC